GACCCAAACCAGATCACCGGCGCAGATGGGACATGGTACGCGACGCCTGTTGGCTTGCTGCTGCATGCGGACTTGAGCCTTTTGCATGTTTGCGCAGGCTTGAGTCAGCAATTCCCTGTACTTTCGGACGGAAGCGGGAGAGCAGGCAACGTCAATGTCGGCTGGTCGAGGGAGGAGAAGGTCGGCGAAGATCCGGCCTTTCCGTCCACCGTGGTGCAACTCGACTGGAGTCACGCCGATCGCCGGATGCACCGAAGTGTTGCAGGCGATCTCGATGTCGGGAAGGCGGTCAACCCAATCTTTCTGATCCGGACGGATGAGCGTACGAAGCATCATTTGAGCGGTTTGATATGCCCGCTCCGTCTGCCCGTCTGTCTGAGGATGCCGAGCCGAACTTGGCTTCATTGTTGTGTCGGACTCCTGCATGAGAGCAGTCCAAAACGTCGACATGAAACGAGTGTCGCGGTCGCTGACAATGTCTTCTGGTACACCGTGGCCACAAATCCAACCRGTGTGCAGGAGGCGTGCCAGCTCAGGAGCCGTGGAGTAGTACTTGCAAGGGAGAAAACGCGCGTACTTACTCAATCAGTCCACAACCGTGAGGATGCCGTCGTGCCCGAGCCGGTCGCGAGGAAACGGACCGGTGACGTCCAGGGCAATGGAGAGACCGGGTTCCCGTGGGATAGGCATCGGGTGTAACTCGCCATAGGGATTGCGGTTGTGGGGTTTGCTGCATCGGCAAACTTTGCACGAGTCGCAATACCGAGTGACATCGGTAATGAGGTCGGGCCATCGGAATCGTTGTCGAACCCGTGCAATAGTGCGGTTGACTCCGAAATGGCCGGCGAGTCGTGAATCATGATACTCGCCGAGGAGGCGAGTCCGAAGACGACGGTCGCGTGGGACACACAATAAGTCCTTGCCTCTCGAGTGGAGGAGCAAGTATCCGTCGGCGATGCGATAGTGGCTGGCCGGCGGTTGATCCGAAGATAGTTGTGCGTACAGCGTGGTGAAGTCCGGATCAGACTCATATGCCCGGATGAAGTGTCGCTGAAGCTCCTCGTCGAATGCGAAGGCATGATGTGTCATAGCGCAAAGATCTGGTCTTCGCGAGAGTGCATCTGCTGCGCGATTTGAGAGGCCGGGTAGATGTGTCGGTGTGAAGTCAAACTGGTCGATGAAGTACATCCATCGTCCGATCATGCTGCTCACCGTATCGTGCGTCTTGTAGTAGGTCAATGGATTGTTGTCCGTAACCCATGTGGACCTACGACGCCCAAGGAGGAAGTGCCGCCATCGCTTGAGAGCCATGACGAACGCGAGTAGCTCCTTCTTCCTTGCATCATCAAGCGAGTTGATGGGAGGCACTTTGTGGCTGAAATACTCCACAGGGTGCCAGTCGTCGCCGTCGTGTTGTTCCAAGACTGCCCCAATGTCGTAGCCGGAAGCATCCGTAGTCACTCTCGTAGGCAGGGTGGGGTCGTAGATGCTAAGGACGGGTGCCATGAGCATAGTCGTCTTAAGTGCTTGGAATGACCGGCGTGCGTCGTTATCGAATACGAATGGCACCTTTGGCGACTGTAACCTCGTCATAGGTGCAGCAATCCTTGAGTATCCGGTGATAAATCGCTGATAGTAGCCCGCCAATCCCATGAATGAACGAACGTCCGTGGTGTTGGTGGGTTCGGGCCATACTCGTAGGGCCTCGATCTTGTCCGCAAGTGGACGGATGCCTTGCGGCGTCACATAATGGCCCAAGTACTCCAGCTCCTGCCGCGCGAATTCGCACTTGTCGCGGTTGGCTTTGTACTTGGCTTGTCGTAGCCGCTCCAAAACGGTGCGCAGGTGTTCCACATGCTCCTCCAAACTCCGGCTGTAGACCAGAATGTCGTCGAGGTAGATAAGTACGAAACGATCCAGCATGTGTCGGAACTCCGTTGTCATAGCCGCTTGGAAAGTGGCCGGGGCATTCATAAGGCCAAATGGCATAACCAGCCATTCGAAATGCCTATATCGCGTCTTAAACGCGGTCTTGTAACGGTCCTCCTTGCGAATCTCGAGTTGGTGATATCCTGACTTGAGGTCCAGCTTGGAGAAAAACTTGGCGCCGCCCAGTCGCTCGAGAAGGTCGTCGATGCGTGGGAGAGGGCCAACGTTCCTGATTGTCTGCGCGTTGAGCTTGCGATAATCGATGCACAACCACAGCTCCTTGTTCTTCTTCCGAACGAAGAGAACAGGAGCACCGTATGGCGATGAGCTAGGGCGAATCCAGCCTTTCTCTAGAAGGTCGTCGAGATGTGCGCGAAGCACACTTAACTCTTCCTCGCTCATTCGGTAGATGCAACCGCAGGGAGGTACGGCCCCGTCCTCGAGGATGATCTCGTGGCGGATGGGTCGATCCGGTACTACTCCGTAAGGGCCTTCGAACACGTCGCTGTAGGCGTCGAGAAGCTCGATGATGCGTGGACCCGAAGGTGAGTCCGTCGATGAAGCGTCATGGGGCGGGAGGGCGTGGAGAAAACACACCCCCATCTCCTCGATGTCGTCTCTGATGATGGAAGCTCGCGTGCTTGCGGCGGATACCAAATGGCAACTGATCGAAGGATGAGGAAGAGGTACCATGCATGGAACTAATACTCCGTTCCGATCACGAATGTGAACGGTGTGGTGGAAGAAGTTCATCGGATGATCCTCGCTTCGCAGCCATGACATGCCCAAGATCATGTCAAATTTGGTGTCCAGAATGTCAAAGGACACCGCCTCACTTGCGTGAGGGGCAAAGTACACTGGGACGTTGTCAATGCACCGGTC